ATTAGAAGAAAAAATTTCCCTGTTGACAAAAATACCATTTAGAACTTCTAGCTAAGGGACATAGAAAAATGATAGCAAGATTGTTGAAATTACACATGACATTGGCACAGAAATAGATGAATCGGTGGAACAGTGTAAAAACCAGATCAGGTATTTATTATATGTTAGTATTTGATAAAGGTGACATCTCAAATCAGTATGGGAAAAAATGGACTCTTCAGAATATATTAAGGCAGTTAATTGGTTAACCATTTGAATTTTGGTAGATCCATACCTCATGCTGTATACAAAACAAATTCTATATGGGTAAAGATCGAATGTAAAAAGAAAAAGGCAGTAAAACACGAAATTTGGTTATAACCATGTAATAGAATAGTATGTACTATTGAAAATGGTATGAGTGTAACTGTTGACATACAGGCAAAATCATGGTATGTTGAGAAATACAGCATAAAACAGCAGAATTTCAAATTTTAAAAATAAAAATAAATATATCTGTGTATTTATGCTTAGGGAGGTCTGGAAGAGGAATTCTGGGTGATTTTTGTCTTCTCAGTATTTTCTGTCCGGAGCAATAAGCCTGTACTGCCTGAGTGCAGGATTATTCTTTGTGTTTTAGAATTCTGCAGGAGTAAAAGAGCAAAAGAAAAGACAGCTTGGCAATAGGAGAGGAAGATACAGTGTTTTTGTGGGTTGGGGCAGTTGCGGGGGGCATGGAAAGACACAGAAGGTCAGGTGCAAATGAAGAGTTAGGCAACTGAGGCCAAAAATAATTTGTAGAATTCCAGAAACAGTACAGGGTATCGGCTCACTGAATCAAAATGAGAAAGGTGGCCGAAATCCGAACCGGACAATAGTCAGAACGTAAGTATATTCAAAAGTAGAGGATGAGCATGATGACATGCTTAGCTAAATAAATACTGAGCAGTTGTATGGGGAGATTGACACAGCTCTCCCAAGATCTCTTGCCTTTTGTATGGTGCCTCATGAGTTTTGAGAGCTTTGCCATGCATCCTGTTTGAAAAAGGTTTGTCTAACTTGGTAATGGCAGACCTTCTCCTCTATTTTTATGGATGAAAATACTGAAGCTTAAAGAATGTTTTGGTGACATGGCTAGTTAATAACGAAGCCAAAGCCAGAACCTGCTTTGCTTCAATCTAGTGAGTAGTCTTGTAATCATACCTCATTCTCTCAGACTTCCAGGGAGATGAGAACAGTCCTGGGAAACACCCAGTGATTCTAGTCAAGCCTGACAAACTTGATATGAATAAATCACTATTACCTAATACCTACCCAGCATGGTTGTTTTTCCCCACCCACCCAAAACTTTTAAGGCTCTCAAAGGTAAAATTTTTGATGAAAATGACTTGTTAATTTACCACATTAAAATGAGTTATCACATTTCACTTATCAGATTAGCAAAGATAAAACTGAAACACTGTTAGCAAGAGTTCTGGAAAATGAATGCTCCATGCTGCTGGAAAGACTTTCAATTGGTATATTTGTAGAGGGCAATCTGGCAGTACCTATCAAAACTTAAAAATTATTTACCTTTTTCCATATCAATTTTACTTCTTGGAGTTTATTCCAAGGATATAATGGGGAGATGCCCAAAGATAACGTACAAAGATTTCACCACAGCTTTGTTAATTTTTTTTTTTTAAGATTTTATTTATTTTAGAGAGAGTGGCGGGCAGAGGGAGAGGGAGAGAGAGAATCTCTAGCAGATTCCCCACTGAGTGAGGAGCCCGACCCATGGCTCTATTCCATGACCCTGAGATCATGACCTGAGCCAGAATCAAGAGTCTGGCGCTTAACTGACTGGGCCACCCAGGCTCCCCTCATGTAGACATTTTAGATTTTATCTTTCATCTCTGTTGTCTCTCCCCACCCCCACTATTACCCCTTTTTAACCTATTGCCAGAAATCCTGGGTATTATCAGAGAATATGTGTGAAGCAAAATGGAAAACCTGTTCACCTTTAATAGAAAACAGTAGAGTTCTCATTACTATGCATAAATAAAAAAGCATAATGGAACTAGACCAAAGTCCATGATAGGTGATTAAAACAGTCAAAGAAATGTGGTTTTCATATAAGAACAGACTGAAAAGACTGGGGTTTGTTTGGCATGAAGGTTAGGCAAAGATGTAATTACTTTCTAAATCTGGTTATGGACTATAGATGAAGGGTAGACTGGTTTATTTACCAAATTCTGTGACCTCCTACCTCATCTTCACCAGCTTACTCTGAAGTAAAAAAAAAAAAAAAAAAAAGGGTAACTGCCTTTTAAAAGATCATACCCTTCTCGGGGTCCTGGGATCCAGCCCCATGTTGGGCTCCCCGCTCAGGAGGTCTGCTTTTCCCTCTTCCTCTGCCCCCTCCCTGCTCATACTCTCTCTGTCTCAAATGAATAAATAAAATCTTTTTAAAAGAATAAATAAAAGATCATAACCCTTGTACCATTAACAGTCTGAAAGCATTATGTTTTTGAGATACATTCATGTTAGGGTTGTTTGCCCCTAACCCCATTACAACTAGATTTTAAAAATCTGAATAGTTCAGTGCAAGATATTGTACTTAATGGCACAGTGATCCATGTAATTATCTTGTTTTCTTCAGAAATAATTGATTAGAGGAAATTGCAAGTAAGAAGAAAATACATAGATTTATTATAACTAGAGGTTATTTTGGATTAATACTCAAGATGATTGTTTTTGGGAGAAACCAGTGTCTGTTTTTAGGTGCAATATGTCTCCGAGATAATTCCACTAGCAAAGATTGTGTGTAAATTTTCCAAGATGGGAGATTTTGATTATGATGCTAAGGGGTTTTGCTATTCCAGGTCCGCAAAATCATGACTTAACAAAATATGAGCCTTCGTGGGAGGCCTGTGAAATAAAAAATATATTTGTGGAGCTTTTTAGAGTGTATAAAAATGCTTGCATATACTGTGTGGAAGTGGAGCTCGAGCTGCTTGCTAGATGTTAAGTTTTCTTAATGGCCATATAGTCTGAGCTCCATTATTAATATATTTCTGACTCCTCATCCTTTCCTGAAGCAGTCTCTTCAGCTATTGTTCAGTGTGCTAGGGGCAGCACAATCCTTTGGGTTTGTTTTGTTTTTTTTTAAGGTTTTATTTATTTTTCAACAGAAACAGCGAGAGCCGGAACACAAGCAGGGGGAGTGGGAGAGGGAGAAGCAGGCTTCCCGTTGAGCAGGGAGCCCGATGTGGGACTCGATCCCAGGACCCTGGGATCATGACCTGAGCCGAAGGCAGACGCTTAACGACTGAGCTACCTAGGTGCCCAATCCTTTGGTTTCTTAATCATATGTTGCTATGACCTTTAGGACTGCGTTTTGGCCAAAGATAGTTTTGTAGCAATAGAGACTACATCGTTGAAGTGCTTGCTTTTGCTTTTCTTTTTTCTTTTTCGTTTTCCTTAGATCTGTTCTGAGGACCACAATCCATTTGGGGGATGGTTACAGAACTGAACCATGGTTGGCAGTGAAAATACACATTCAAAGTTGAATGAAAGCCTCATCCTGGAAGGGGAGTGGTATTATGTTTAAACTGGCTGCTCTGGTGTATGTGGAAGAATTTGGTGTTAGTCAGTTAACTTTTTAGGTTTCAAAGTTTAAGAGAGTTTTGTTCTGTCCTTCTAGGATTATAGAGGAATTAATTCATAGAAGACTTTGGGAAATGTTGCATTAGGTGATTTCTTAGTGTGTGCCACTAAGCATTAATCCTAGTGAAGAGTTGAGAAGCCATATCTATAGGTTAAAGTGAAACATTGTCATTCAGAACCAGTTAAGCTTAAAGAAGCAGACCTCCTTTTGGTCTTTCCAATGTTGGCAATATGTTGGCAGTAAGCTCTTTCCAATTCCATGGATCTTTTTCTTACCCCGTTCTGTAGACCTGATTTTGACATCTTCTGAATCAAACTTGAGGGCAGTGGTGGTTTTATTTGACTTTACCAGTCGCTAGGGATCTGTTTTAACCTCTACATGCTACGTGTTCCTGCTCTTAGTGACCGAATTTCTTCCTGAAATGGTGTTAGCATGCAACCATTTGCATAAAAATTGGTGGTGACGTAAGATGATTCTTCCACCAGAATACCAAGTGGAAATCAGTACAGTAGAAACTGAAAGTGCTAATAAGTAGGGTAAACTTCGGGAATATTTCAGATAGTTGGGCATCCCCCAAGGATAGAAGGGTTGCAGGGCATGATTACCTGGAAGAAAGGTATGAAGCTTCTCACATAGCCCCCCCTCCCCATTCTGCCCGATGAGCAAATGCCTGGCATGCGGCGGTAGCTTGTTATGGGTTCCTCACATGACTGTCCTGTCTGGGGGAGAGTTAGCCTTCTAGCCAATGATGTGTTGTTGTAATTTTGAGGTGGGGGCTGGGGTTAAGCATAAGGTACAGAAAGTGAAAGAGAACTTATAAAAAGGAACTTGAGCACTTAAGTCCAATTTTGTTTTTTTGTGTGTTTAGTGCAGGTGACTTCTTGTTTCACCTCTTACATGAGCATTATGGTTGTTGACAGTTTTCATTTCCTAGTGCTTAATTGTTGCAGGAACACATATGTCTAGATTATTTTTAATATATGGTCAGATTTTCTTTAATTGACCCGTTGGATTCTTCCCCTCTTTTGGTGATCTAAACACCACCAAATTACTGCACTACCATTTAACTTAGAGAACTGATCATGATTGTGGCCAAAATTGTGGATTTGATGTCTGGTTTGGGATACGGCTTAAAATTATTCTCAAATAACAAGTTGATCAACGTTCTTACATTGTTAGTGATTTGGTAAAGACCATTTAAATAAGTCCAGTTCCTCCTAGTATAAAATCACAGAAATAAGTTTAAGATGTCATTTCTTCTCCGAACAAGAATGTGAGCCGTCTGTGAGTTCTCCAGCTCGGCTTTCATGCCTTAAAGTCCTTGAAACCTGTCTGGAGAGCTTTCTAAATCCTGCACATTCCTGTCTTGCAGGCTTTTTTTCTGGCCCAGCAGACAGTTCAGGATCCAGAACCCAAGCATGAATGTTCACCGCGGCGGCGAAAGCGACAGGGTACTGCGGCAGGAGGCGAGCTGCCTAAGCGATGACCCTGCAGCTGCGGCCCAAGAGAGAGAAACAAATAGCCTGACTGCTTCCGCTCTTCAGAGTCTCGCTTACCCTCTAGGTCCCAGGAGCGATGGTACGATGGTTAGATCTCGACTTAATTCGGAGGGCTTTCCGACCCGTGAGCGTCCACTCTACCCAGAGGCGTAAATAACATCTCCAGCTGATTGGCTTAGCTCACATGTCACAGTTACCTAAGGCTGCCCGCCACAGACAGCCCCCTGACTCAGTCAGTCCCGCACATCTAACTCGGCGGTAACCGTGTGAGAAAAACAGTCCTGGATCTGGAGTCAGAAGACAGATTCAGATTCTAGCTCAGCTTCTTATCATCTGTAACCGTGGATGAGCTCCTTAATCTTTCTGAGCCCTGCTTTCTTAATTTGGAAAATGGGGATATTAATATTCTTCTTACTTCACGCGACTGGGAGACTTTGGAGTTAATGGATGTGCAGGCTCTTGATAAACTGTCCGGTTCTTTTTAACTTTGAATAAAGGCAGCGGCAACACTAATAATAGCAGTTACTGTTTATTGAGCACTCACCATGCTAGGAACTTTACATACATGTTTTTAGATAAAGAATGGCAGACTGTGGCCAAATCCAAACCACTGCCTGTTTTTGTAAATAAAGTTTTAAAATGCAGCCATCATGCCCATTTGTTTACATAGGGGCTTTGGCTGCTTTCCTGCTACAGTGGCCTTGACTGTGACCCACAGAGCTTTCTGGCCTTTTACTGATCCCTGCTTAGAGTCCTCTTCCTTGTGCAGATGAGGAAAGGAAGCTTCGGAAGCTTACAGAACGTGCTCAGGCCCACACCGCTGGGAGTTGGGTGGCTGCCTTTTGAACCCGCGTCTTTCTGACCGGGCTGTGCTATTCTAGATGCATCCACTGGCAGAGGGGCAGGGTGTGCCTGCCATCCTAGCGTGTGCCAGTGGGGAGAGTTTGCGCACGGAGTCCCCCTTCCTGCTCACCCACGCACGCTTCCCAGGACTTGAGGTGCCCTTCAGGAATCAGCCCCCTGAATTGCTTCATTGCTGTGGGCGGTGGGCGTGCGGAATCAAGCATCCTGAATTTGTGATGTAGGTACCTACTTTCATTTTTTTAGAACAGCACTTTGTGAAAGCCCATCTTGGTGATGAAAGTGTTTCTTTGCTAGAAGCTTGCCTGTGGATTGTGTGGAAGCTTAGCTCTTGTTGTGCAAACAACAGGGCCACACTGAAAATCTGTCAAAAGCTGTAGGATGTGAACCCTCAATAAGCGTTTGGTCTAGATTTGGTTTCCTTTTCTCTAGAAGCAAATGGGAAAGAAAAGTGAGTGTATTCTAGGTCACAGTTTATCTAAGGGCCCAAAGTCAGGCTCATTTCCCACAAGTGATGGGCAGTAATCATGTTCATGAATTGTTGTATACAGACTTAAAATACGTGCGGGATGGGAGTCAGATATTCAGTTGTATCTATAACCTTTTACTTTTTTCAAAAAAAAGATCTGAAGAAAATATAGAAAAGTTAATTAAGCTTGTCAGATCTAGGTGGTGGGATACGCATATTGTATTAACTTTGGTATGTTTGAAATTTTTCATAAAAGAGACTTTTTTTTACCTTAAAATATATTAGAACTGCCAATTTAAAAGAATCCTGTGATAATACTTTTATAAATATTTCCCCCCAAATTGTCTTCTGCATACATCCAGATTTCAGATACTGAGTTTTAAACCTTTTTTGCATGATATGGTATTAGCACACTTTGAAGTGCTCTCACATACTTTATTTCAGTTGATACAAGAATCCCGTGAGGAAGGTGGAGTGAACACGATTCTCATTTTACAGAACTGAACAAGGTTTAGAAAATTAAATAAATTGCTTAAGGAAAACGGCTCCTTGGTGATACTAGGACAAAAACAGGTTCTGTGAAGGAATCCTAACCCAAGGCCACTTGCACTGGAACCTTTCTGCTGAGGGCAAGCCCTGCCTCTTCAAAAAATGGTGCTGGTGATGTTAGGATTCTCCAGTGCATAGTGAAAATGCATTTTTATATGAATTTCTAGGAAAAGTAATGCATTAGACAATTAGAGACTGTCATCCCTTCTGGGGAAATAAAATTTAGAAACATTTGGAAATTTTTAGAAGGATGTGGAAAAGGAATAGTTTCAGCACCCAGAGGTAGCAGGTTCCTTAAATAAAACACAGGAAGTACAAGAGTATTATTTAGAGCTAGAAGTGGAAACAGAAGTAAAAAGTGATTTCCTCTGTGAGACGAGACCGGGGGAAGGCATGGAGTCTGGCAGGGCCTTGCTGGTTGTCCACAGAAATTCTCTACTGTTTAAATTTTTTTAAGCCATGCATATAATTTACTTTAAAATTTTTATATCATTTTAAAGTATGGGCATTATTGCCTTCCTTCTCTCCTCCCCACCATACAAACCTGGAAAAAAGCTCAGGGGGATCCAGTATGAGTCTCTAGCCTATTTTTCCTTTACTTGTTCAAGGCAAGAGTTTTTTGCCTGTGAACACCTAAAAGTTTGGGGGTTGTCTTGTTGTTTTTTAAAGAGACGAGGTTTATCCCCCCCCCCCAAGCCTTTTTGCTGTCAAGTTATTTTGGTTTGTTTGTATGATCTTTTAGACCTTTCACTTGACTATGCCTCTCAGCCAGCAAATCTTCAGTTCCCTCACATAATGCCACTTCCCGAAGACATCAAAGGCTCCTGCTTCCAAAATGGGAATAAACGGAACCATGAACCCTTTATGGCTCCAGAACGATTTGGAAACAGCACTGTGGGCTTTGGCAGTAACGTTCATTCCCAGGCGCCAGAGAAAGTGACACTTCTTGTAGATGGCACACGTTTTGTTGTGAATCCACAAATTTTCACTGCTCATCCGGATACCATGTTGGGAAGGTAATTGATGATAATTTCCTTCCAAATTCACTCTGTTCTCTATGAATAGAAATACCTGCTGTTTATCTTGCACTAGATGTGAGGAAAAGAAGCCCTGCATTGCTTATTTTTCTACCTTCACATCTTTGTGAGACAGGAAGGGCAGGCTTATACAAAGCCTTATATGTGTTGATGATTTGGGGGATGTACTTAATTTATTTACAAAGCCAGTACAGTAAAATGGGCCCCCACAAAGGGAAGTGCAATCAGAACTATGGAAAATAATCTGCTGAATATCCTTCCCTCTTCCTCTATTATAAACTCCCTCTGAAACAGAAGTCACACACCTGATCTCTCTTAGCCATAATTCATACACCCTCACAAAAGTAATCTTGTCTGAGCTCCACAGGTCAAAGACAGGGTTAAGGGAAGATCTAAGTTGTGGCTTTTTTTTTTTTCTTTTGTCTTTTAATAAAAAATAGACACATGTTCCACATGACACAACAGCAAAACCGTTTTACAGGAAAGCCTTTTGTCTGCTGTCCGTTGCCCGCTCTGCTTGGCAGCGGGTGTCAGGCTGTCATTTTCTGATGCCTCCATCTCTATTCAAGTTTTCCAAAACTGCATCTTTCTATCTGGCTGTTGTACTGTGTCGTGACTGCTCTCTCTTTCCTTCATGTTCCATTCTCTGTGCTGCTTCATTGAAGACCACAGTCTTAGCCTCCTCTCCTCATCTCCTGCCTCCAGCATTTTAGGGGTAGCGTTTAGGAAATGTAAGAGCCTGCCAAGGAGGAGCACTGGCCAGAAAGTGTTTTTGGAGCCTGGACTGGGAGTTAGGAGGTTCTCCTTCTGGCCAACCATAGACCTTAACATGAGGAAGAGCAAATCGGGATAAGAGTAAAAATAATAACAATAATAATAATGTATGTGTATATACACACAGACATTTGGCTTTTGAGGATTTTCATCTACTTGGAAGTAGATCTTAAAGATCTAACCTCACTCAGGACTTCGAACTAATTTGAACTGATTTAGAAATCAGAACAGACCACACTCATTTGTTGAATTTTAGGCTAAGTGGAATCCAGCTATTCAAATATATTTATATTTGAACATACACATGCAGATTCATGATGAACCATTTTTAACCAGAAAGAAATCTGTATATTTCTCAAACATCTGAATTAAGACTAAACTAGAACATTGAAACATTTTCCAGACTGGCCCTACATTTTATCAGACTTGACTTCCTGTCCTCAGTCTCTGTGTTGCTACCGCTGCCCCCCCCACCCCCCCCCAAAACAGTGTTCCCTCGGCACTGGCTGGCTCTTTGAGGTAGATTGCCTCTGACAGTGATCACGAGAGGGGCAAGGATTTTCTGGGTGATAGATTAATTCTTGGGTGACCCTCTTTCTTTGAATCTAGGAATGAGTTGTCCCATGGCAAGAGCGTCTGATTCTTTATCTAGGTGGTTTATCAGCTAAGGTTATCAGTTCTGAGAATTACTTAGGTTTGCACTGTCCTGAGGTTACATGCAGTGTTGGTAAGCCTAGGCAGTGAGCTAAAAAATGTGGGCCACTAGTCACAAGTGGGACAAGCTGAGAGATTGCAAATGGATTAATGTTAATCCATACCACTACCAGATAAATAACTCTGAGCTTAGGTCTTGCTGATGATAGTTAAGGGGTGGGGGTGGGGGGAGTGGCATTACATGGCATGTTCACTATTTTGAATCATAACTGTCTTGGCTAGACTTTAACCAGAACGTTCCAGAAAAATGTCAGCATTCTTTGAAGACACTTTTATCAGGATGGATTTCTTATATATGGTGTTAGTGGTTTGGAAAGTATGTGATTTGGAATCTTTTTCAGACCTTTGAAAAGCAGCCAATTTAGGGTGGAGGATAACAGTTTTAACATTGAACAGCAGGGCTTCCCAGCAGGTTAAGAAAGGAAATGACAGTGAGGTGCCATTGGGAACTTAAATCAGGCTGGCTGAAGATCCTGATTACCTGCCCTGTCCCTCACACTGGTTTCCCATTCCACAGCTCAGACGTGCAACAGGAGTGGGGGAAGTCAAGGGGCCAGTTTTACTGGAGGGGATCTGAGAGGGAGGAAGGAAGCATGGGAGAAGATGAGTAAGGAAAAGCAAGATCTCCCTGTGCCCTCCTAACCTCTGCGTTCATGCACAGAGCAGGCTTGCCTCTCTAAACTATGTCAAACCACTGATAAGCCTAATACCTCCCATCCCTGTCTACTTGACCTGAAGTTCCTATCATTAGAGTTACTCCGTGGATTGAAGGGCATTTTCCCCAGAGCTCCAGCATTAAAATGTACCAGGAAAGGGAGAACAGTAACATCTGCACCCACCAGTATAGATGCATCTATCACATTAGATGTTGAAAAGCAAAACTCAGAACTACTGAGGACTGACAAGCTAGATAAGTAAGGAGGGACCAGGAAGGGTCAGGAGCAGGAGATGCACGGTCTTCCTGAGCTGCCAGCATATCCCTGGGCAGTGGGGAGGGCGTGAGAGGCAACCCTCACACATGCCAGAGATTGTCCAAGGGCCAACTCTGCAGATGCTGCTTTACTTCATTTGCTGTCACAGCAGCTTACCACCCGTGATCCTTGAGGACTTGGCTGCTTCATTTCTCCTTGCTCTCAAATGCTGCAAGCAATCGCTACCACCTTTTCTGTCTGGAAGGAGCTGCTTCTTAGGGGTTGGGTCCCACTGCTGTGTTTTCAGTTTATACTATGAGAACATGGAATGGAGTCTTCCAGAATGAGGTGAAGAGGGGAGCAGTCCTCACGCATGAAGAATCCGGCTGGACTGGAGAAGATTAACATTGTTGCCTGATGTCTTTCAGAATGTTTGGACCAGGAAGAGAGTATAACTTCACTCGGCCCAACGAGAAGGGAGAGTATGAGATCGCTGAAGGAATCAGTGCGACTGTATTTCGAACGGTGCTGGTGTGTAGGAGCCCTTCTTGTTGCATCCTCTTCCCCAGGGGCAGGCATAGGCAGAAGCCTGGAGAGTTCCAGCAGATTGTTACTGACTTTAGGGTCTCTGGTTCCCAGTTCCCTTTCCCTCTAGTTTCTATTCCTGTAACTTTGAAGCACCTCTTGTTTGCGTGAGCTCAGTCAGCTATCAAGGTGTGACTAAGCATGCCCGGAGAGCCAGGAGCCACTTTGCCAGCTGACAAGTCAGCCAACTTGGTGATAGTTCTAGTAAGCTACCATTTTAACAGAACCAGGAATGGATAGGGGGTTGAAGAGGTCACTTTTTATCTTGGTTCTTTGCCTACATTTCTTCTTTTTAATCCATTTACAGGATTATTACAAAACTGGTATCATCAATTGTCCTGATGGCATCTCTATTCCAGACCTTAGAGATACATGCGATTATCTCTGCATTAACTTTGACTTCAACACTATCCGATGTCAAGATCTGAGTAAGTTACAGATACCTAATACCTGCATTTGAGCAGCTGAACTTTGAGTTTGCTTGGAATCGACTGATATTTTTTATCACTAAACATGAGTTTCAAGTGTGGGCTGAAAATCATCTGCAGAGGCAGAGACATGATACTAACCTATTCCCTCTCCTGCTTCACAGCACTGTGAGGAAGTGGAGTAAACCAAAGAGAATGCGTGGTGGGTTCTGAATCTAGCTTGTCCAGTGAGGCACCGAGGTAATGGCTTACCCTCTTGGGACCTTGGTGTCTCAACTAATAAATAAGGATACTGATTCTTGGACATTAGTGAGCCTTCCCTCATAGAGTCAAACAGCATAAATTGGCTGGGTGGTTCATAGAATCATTTTTACCGTTATTATTAACTTTGTGTTTACTAAGTGCTTTCTAGATATGAACTTGCTTAATTCTTGCAACAGTGAGCCCTGCAAGTCAGGTGATAACCCCATTTAACAAATGGGAAGACTGAGAAATTGACTTGTTCAAAGCTCTAAAAAGCTGGGATTAGAGCTGTTGACTACAAACACCATTCTCTTATTATCACCTAGGCTTCCTGAAATTATTTAAAAGATTATTCTTTGAGGTTCACGATACATTTCCCTGCATATTCCATGAAGTTCTCTAGACTTGTGGTTTCTCTACTGGGTCTAGCGCACACTTAGAGCAAGTCCCTTGGTGTCCTCAAACTTCAGATGATCCCTCTTCTGTGGTACCATAACTCCACGAAATTGGGGTTCAGAGCATCTTCAGAAGAGGTCCTACAAATGATGGTTCTTTCTCTTGTAGAATTAATGTACGTGGTTTGACGTTGTATAGCTAACCAAACCTCAGTTGGTCAAAATGCTCAGGGATTATTAAACATGAGGGGGGCACCTGGGTGGCTCAGTTGGTTAAGCATCTGACTTGGTTTCTGCTCAGGTCATGATCTCGGGGTCATGGGATCAAGCCCCATGTCAGCTCCACGCTGGGCATGGAACCTGCCTGGGATTCTCTCTCTGTCTTCCTCTGTCCCTCCACCCCTCCCTCCCTCTCGATAATAAAATAAATAATAAACATGAGGAAGTTAAGGAGTGGTAAAACGTGCAACATATCTAACAAAATCAGCTTCATTAGTGCCTCGGAGCAAGAAACCATTTTCTGCCTTTATGGGCCCCCTGTCTGGAACTTCTCCGTGATAACAGCCATCACCTCATAGTCTTTTTCATTCCAGTAATAGCTGCATTCGGCCAGAGAGGATGTTCACCTACAGCTTCTCTCCCCAGGTGCTTTACTGCATGAACTGTCTAACGATGGTGCTCACAAGCAGTTTGACCACTACCTCGAAGAGTTGATCTTGCCCATCATGGTGGGCTGTGCCAAGAAAGGGGAGCGAGAGTGCCACATCGTTGTGCTGACGGATGAGGATTCTGTGGACTGGGATGAAGACCACCCCCCTCCCATGGGGGAGGAATATTCCCAAAGTAGGAGCCCCCCGCATGGTGTAGATGCTTTCCGCACCAGACGTGCTGCCCAGAGTAGCAGTTAGATCCTGGAAGCAACATGAATGTCACTGTTGAGCTGGCAAGGAGCACACTCACCTGGATGATCAGGGCACGTGATGCAGGGCTGAGGTCTCTGCTGAGTGTGTGACATTGTCCCACCTCCCGCTGCTGCCCCTGGTGTCGGATACTGCGGTGAGACGGAGGCCAGATTGAGGCCATTTAATGGTGGTATCACTCTTCTCTCCGCTGGTTCCATTTTTAATGAATGTACCAATTCAGAAGGTACAAAAGGATGGATATACATTGAAGAGTCTTGATCCCATCCCTGCCTCATCCACCCGGTTTTCCTCCTCAGCTTCTTTTATATCCTTCAGATGTATTCAGTGCACATACATAAGCAATTACATCCATGGTTTTTCCTTTTTTTCAAATGCTTCCATAGTCTACAGACTGTTCAACACCGTGTCTTACATAAAAAGCTTCCACAATCTTTTTAATGGCTGTCTAGTGTTCCACTGCACGACTGTGCCAGAGTGGAATTAACTAGCTCTGTTGTTGGACATTTAAACTATAAATTATGAATGATGCTGCAATAAATAGCCTTTTAAACGGAGTCTTTTTCACACATGTGTATCTCTATAGAATAATATTCCTAGAAATGGAATTTCTGTGCCAAAGCTTTGTTCCTTTATAATTTTGATAAATGTTGTCGAATTCTCCTCCATATTACACTCACAAAACAATATGTGGCAGGTTTGTTTTCCACACCCTCACCAAAACAATGTTTTACTGAACTTTTATCTTTGTCACACTGATAGGTAAAAAATAGCATCGCATTTATGTTTTAATTTGCATTTCTCATTTCATGATCAACACTCACCATCTTTTTAAATTTTAAGAGCCTTTTAATTTCCTTTTCTGTAGCTTTATTTGTGCCTTTTGCCCATTACAGAATTGGATTGTCTTTTACTTAGTGATTTGTGAAGGCTCTCTATTTGTGACCACTCTTTCTATATATATTAAGGAAATTAGCCCTTTGTAATGTGAGTTGCAGGTATTTTTCCCAGTTGACTTTTGTTATTTTGTTTTTTTTAGCTTTGGTAACAGTGGTTTTGGCTAAGCAGAGACGTTGTATTTTTAAGTAGTCAAATGTGTCAGTTTTTACATTATGGCTTCTGGGTTTTATGTTGTACCCAAAAGGTCTTCCCCACCCTGAACTATAAAAATTTCTCATGTGGTTTCTTTCTTATGTTTGATCTATTACTTAACATTTAATCTGTGATCCAACTGGATTTTTTTTTTGGCATCAGGGTCGGGTATACCTTTCATTAGTCTGATTCTGTTAGCTCGTTTCCCTCCTCTTTTAGAAGTTTTTACTCCATGACTAACTCAGTTTTTCTTTTTCCAGTTCTTTATAGCTCCAAGCTCTATAGATTCTTCAAATATATTGAGAATCGTGATGTCGCTAAAACAGTGTTAAAGGAGCGAGGCCTGAAAAATATTCGCATTGGAATTGAAGGTAATAAATATCCCCATTAGTATTCAGCTTGCATGGCTCATGGAGTGGGTTGTATCTATGGGCACAGCTTGTGTCCTTAAAACCCGGCTTCCAGAGGACGTAGAGAATAGGCACACATGAACACTACATTCCTACCCATGTGAAGGATTCCTGGTTTTGTTTTTGTTCATCCTTATATTTCCTTTTCATTTTATTTCCATTCGTAAATGCTTAAATTAAAGCAGCTGCAGGAATAAATTCCGGTGTACTGCTTTGGCATAAAGGGCAATGAGGGCTAAGGACATGGGCGGGGGGGGCGGGGGTTGTGGAGCAGGGCCCGTGGGCTCACCAAGTGGGAGAGTCATTCCATCAACAGTCTTGGACACTCAAATTTGAATTAATTCCACTGCATACCTTTGAGGAATGTCTGTGTGTATTGATAGAATGGTTTGAAGTGATCTTGAGCAAATGGCTCCCAACCTGTGGTCTCCATAGAAAGGTCTTAGACACTGATTCTTCGAGAATGCTGAAGCCATCCTGGTCTCCTCTCCATGAGTCTTTCACTCTTGAGTTTTGCTGTTCTTGCTATCTCAGTCTTGCCTGCGGAACCCATCAATCTTCATTGTGTCTCATTTAGGTTGGAATTTCAGGTGGGAAGAGATTTTTGAGGTCTATTAAACCTCTTCCACTGTGTCCCTCCTTTGTCACTGGAAACCCCAGGAACAGGGTGACAAGGATTACTCCATTTCCCAGCATCCCATCAGACTGTCCTACCATTAGAACATTCTTCCATATATCTAGTAGATAACTTCCTCTCTCTTCGGTCTTCCTTCTAGTTCTAGCCTCTGAAGCTACTCTGAGTAAGATTTCTCCCATTTCCATGTGATAGCTTTTCAGATATTTCAGGCAACTTCCCTGTTTTTTTCTTTAGGCTACACATTACACGCTTTCTAACCACTTCTACAGTATGAGATAAGCACTAGAATTAGAGACTGGAGTTCACCATGGCCTAGCAGGATTTCTGTTCTGTGGCATTGTTGCCAGTAAGTACAGGCCTCTGAAATTACTAAGAGGCTGTTCTCGCCCTGCGATTAGAAGAGATAGAATTTTTGTCACTTCCCTTCCAGGGACAAGACCTACTAACCTGGATAGGTGGGAAGTGAGCACGTAGGTGGGTGGGAGTGGCAGGGCATGGTCAGAGGTCATTTCCCCAGCCTTTGAATTTGGGAGGAAATTAAGTGGTTACAGAAGAGAAAGTGTGGAATCTAGAGTGGGCAATTTCCTGGAGTCGTGAGAATGGCCTTTTTCTGTTTCAGGTTACCCTACCTGTAAAGAAAAAATTAAGAGAAGACCCGGTGGCCGGTCTGAAGTAATCTATAACTATGTGCAGCGCCCCTTTATCCAGATGTCCTGGGAAAAGGAAGAAGGGAAGAGTCGCCATGTGGATTTCCAGTGTGTCCGAAGCAAATCCCTCACTAATCTGGTAGCTGCTGGAGAAGATGTCTTAGAGGACCAGGAGATAGTAATGCACCACCCACCCCAGGTGGATGAACTCGACCGGCTGAATGCTCCACTTTCTCAGATGGCGTCTAACGACTTTCAGGATTAGGGCCAGCTGTGGACCCGTGTCTCTTTAGAGCCCTTCTCTGTCTGCGATGCCCACAGCCAGTTCTCCCCTTGGTTTGTCTCCCCTGAGTATCAGGAGACCTGCTTCTCCGTCCTTTCCCTCTCTCTCACAGTTAGCGTGTGTCCTTTTCATTACTGAAAAGTCTGTGCCTCCGGCCGGGGATGAAAAAGCACTCACTGGCAAATAAGCTACCAGCTTTGCAGCAGCCCTGGTAACTTGAAAAATTTGGATCTGGTGCCGTTTACAGAGTCTTTGCATAACTGCAAAAAGTAGGAAAGGAAGTCGACTCCCATTGGCTCATATTCATCAAAGCAGTCCTCTCATCCTTTATACTTTGTCCTTGGCTTTTTTGTTTGTTTGTTTTATACCAGGCAAATTATGTAGCAGCAAAGGGACCAAACCTTAAAAAAAGATAATCTCTAGCTTCCACAAGCAGGCGCTAATGGGATTGTCATTAGGGGTCAGTGAAGATGCCATTCCTGGTGGCCTCTGTGCCCAGACCTGCATCTGGGAAGAACTAGGCTCTCATCAAAACATCCAAAAGGAGATTTCTTAAGAGTTTAAATTCAGTTTTTTCATTAATGCAATGAATAGTTCAAAACCCCACAGATTCGACTGAAGTCCAATAATAATGTAACAACATTTATGAAACCTTTTTAGGTTCAAGGTTTTTGAGTCTAAAGAAATCATTTGGAATGAAATTCACAACTCAAGTAGAAGAACCTGTCCAGATCAGGCCACTTTGGTTATCCTGGCTTGGAATCTGGTGTGAAGCCATAGGTCGTCACCCTAGGCAGCACATTGCTGTGAGTGTGGCTGGGAAACCTTAGATGATATGGCTGAGAAAGGCTTTTAAGAGGCAGGCAGAAATTTCTCACAAGTGCTCTGTTTCTCAATAGAAAGACTTCTAAGAGCTCCAGGGAAGGGGGCATTTGGGGTAAAGCGGGGTGGGGGAAACGTCACCTGCCCAGGCTTTGTCCCAGTGCAGGATTTTTCTTTGTATATTCTTTTCATACTATGGAATTTTTTTGGATATCAGGATATTTGTTTTTGAAGTAGCCTATCACACTGGGTTAGAAAACCATACTGCTGTCATCCCCAAAGGATAGATGAGTTGAAGGGGTATTAGGCCTAGTAATTTTGTTTGATCTTGTCGGCTCTGTATTAGTAATGCATAGTGTGTGACAACCCAGATCACTCCTCCCATTACTGAACCATTTTCCCTTGTGTCCTCATGGCTATTAACAGCAGAACTAAATTTAGAGTCTAGAGCCAGATGTTAAGTGTCTGGGGATAATCTCCCATTTTATGATAAAGGTTGGCCTTCTAATCACCTACCCAGAGCCTTTACTCATCACAGATTTCAAAGAGGTACATAGTTTCCTTCAAGTTCTTTAAGGTAACATGACGAGTTTTCTTAAATTCCATTCCTGTACGATACCATAGAGCAAGTTAGGTGACTCCATTTTGACTGCCCTAGTTGTAGTCCTCCAAAGGTAAAGTCAGATGGGTGTCGAAAGCTGTTCTTTCCAGGCGTGAAGAACAAGAATGTTCTTAAGAAGTGTGTTCTCTGTGCTTGTGACCAGCATCACAGTGGAAATCAATACTCCGTTCATTACTCAGAAAATAGTAGTAGTAAGGGGTTAAACTGAGCCATCTCCCACTTAGAGAATTCTTCTGACTACCACTGGCATCCAACTTGTAAGGCTGATGGTAAGGGTTAAAGTTTAGGGTGAGGGTTTTTTTTGTAGCCAGAGGGTACTTTTATGTCTGTGAAACTCCTTGATTCCTATTTGAGGTCAGGTTTGGCTTTCACCGTGCCAGTATTTCATTCATACCCACTGATAGTTGACCAGCCCAGATAATCGTTTAATGGTGCTTCCTTTCTGCTTCTCAGTTGACTTCCTCCCATGCCATCACAAAGGAAATCTGAATGAACTGTATTCTCTAGTAAGTATAACGTCTGTTCTCCATCTTCTGTATGAACATTTAAGTGTGAACATGCTGCAGCTAACCCTCTAAAACCAATTAGTCCTGGCTTAGGTGAAAAGCCAAGTATGAAAGTATGGCATGTACTTAGCACTCTGTTCTATGTAAATGATTAATTTCCTCGGGCTTTCAAGAAGTATGTCTCCCTTCCCCCCCTCCCCAATTGGGTTAATGTGCTTTTGGCCCCAACCCATGGGGTGAGTGAGCTGGAAACCCATACAGGTTAATCTGCCAGTGTCACTAGATGGTGGGGACAAAGGGAAAAGTGGGGCCCACAGGTCCCTTCTGGTAAAGAGGGAGCTTTCTTCTGCACCCACCACCCTCCCAGCCTGGAGCTCAGCATCACTGCAGTTTTGGAGCTCCCCTTTCCTGGGCCCAAGACATTCCATGATGGCAGAACTGCTGAGTCCCCACAGGGACGGGCTGAGTTGCAGTCATTCCCTTCAGAGTCTGTTACTGGCCAGCTGGGCAAGAGAGGTTTCTAATAAAGGTGGAACTCAGGTTTGGTGGGGTTTTTTTTTTTCTTCTAAGTGCCTAAATAAGCAAGCTAGGCTGTTTATACAGAGCCATCTTCAGAGGAAGATATTTTGCTCTGACGGTCTTACTCAGATAGCTCTGCAAGCCAAGAGGAACCTGAATTTGAGATTTAGAATCGGAGTTTGTGAATGCATCATTATCATGTATCGCTGACTGGGAAACATTTGGCATTGAGCTGGAGAGTGGGCAGAGTGTTAACATGTGTCTGGTGAGATGATCATGGTTTCTCCAAAGTGGAGGAAAAGTATTGAAAAGATGGCAGCATTTAAATGGTAAGGAAGCTAGAAAGTACATTTACTGCATAATATGTAATAGCCAATATTATTTTAAGCTAAATTCCAAGAAACCAGTATGTCATCTAATGTATACAGGTCTATGAAAATACTATGGAATAAGCCCAGGAAGGATGGAAATATTTGCAGAAAACAATCAGCACAGGCTTTAACTCAAATTGTCAAAGTGTGATATGGAGTCTTTTTTTTATCGAGTGTCAATAGAAAGTTAAGAATCAAAGGGTTTTAGTAATTTATCCAATGCCACTTCTTGCCATTATTTTGAGATTGTTAAAATGCACATACAAATTCAGAAGGCAAACCTGATGCCTTCCCTGGGGAAGATGGAGCCACATTCGTGCTCTGGGTGGGATCACCTCTGCAGGAGAACATTACATTTTCTCTTAAAGGCAAAATGCTTGTAGATTTTGCCTCTTTACTTTGTATTTACTTCTAAAGTTGCACTTGTTCACCTACCAGTGTTTACGAAATCCTTTATTTGGGATGCTTTTTCTATAATAAAATATTATCATTTGTGTCCATGTTGTTTGTTTTTAGCAGAAAATAAAACTGGAAGTCAAGATGTTAAAAGGGACCCAAAGCAGCAGCACGTTGATTGCTCAGAACAGAGCCTCTTCCTTTCCTGCGGGGCCACAGGGTCACTTTGAGCCTGGGTGTGCCCTTCCCACCCTACTGTCTATAACTCACAGCTTCCAGAACCCTAATAGTCTGCCTTCTTGAGTTCCTGGCTAATTTACATTCAAGACCTCCTGAATCCTCAGTCCAACCAAGTAGGACCCCACAAAGCCAAATGTAAGTTTGGAAGATAAGAGGACTCAGCGACTTTTATGTTCTGGTTTAAAACAAGTGAGGAGCCATGGCAGGAATGAAAGGCAGGCCCCCTGGAAACACTGCTGTAAAGCTTCTGGCTCCTCCTCTGATGTCTCCGATTTGGCCCAACTCTAGTCAGGTGCCTCCTGAGTGAGTTCCCTCAGCTCACTTAGCCCGGGAGCTTATTGGTGATCCAACTTCAAGGGGCGCTAAAGCCAGCACCTTCACAGCAGGCCTGCCTTTATCAGCACGGAGGTTACGGACACGCTCGGAAGAGATGGCCTGCTGAGTATACTCTGTGCCAAGCACTGCATGACCACAGGGACACAATGACCAGGACACAGTTCTGCTCCAAGGGGTTTTTATACTTGTGGGGAAAAGAGATCTATGAACAGTCCAGGTCACTCAGGGAACCCCCAAAAGGATGGAGTAGCCAGTTTTTACCATGAGAATTCACAAGAGGATTCTAGAAGTGATCCATGAACCAAGTTGTAAAGAAAGAATACTAGTTGTTTTGGATCCACGAATATGCAGGGAGGAGGTATTCCAGGCCAACTCAACTATATGAGCAAAGATGCAAAGGTAAAATGATCAGGGAAGGTGGGGGGATGCAGAGATGAAGCCAGAGTAAGGAAGGACCCTTCTACCTCAAAGTTGTCTGGTCTCATTTTTAGAAACTATTGGGAACCCAAGAGAGTTTTATGGAGGAGAATGACATGATCAGACTTGAGGCTTGAATTTCTTCGGCAGCAGGGAAGGCAGCGGACTTGAAAGGGGAAGGACCAGGGACAAAAGAGGTCAGCTAAGGAGTCACTGCAGTAGCTGCTTCAAGAAACGAAGGCACTGGTAGGATGGATGGATGGCCATGCCCCAGAATTGTGCATGTTTACCCATGGGAACTGGGTAAGAAGTTTCTGGCTGGACAGCTGAGTAGACAGAGTCAAAGAGGCAACGGGAAGCAAGAGGAGCTCTGTTTGGATGGTGTTTGAGCCCGAACGAGGCCTTCCAGACGGCGGTATCTAGAGTTCTGGGGATGGAGCTGGGAAGTTGGTCACTTTGAGGACCTCACCACAAAAAAATGGTAGCTGAAGCCACTGTGTTGGGGAGATCACCGAGATCACATGAGTAAATAGAGGGCAAAGGCATTGCTCGGATGATCACCAGCATTTAAGTGGTGGCAAGGGAACCAAGAAGGAAGTCAGATGAGAATAGAGTTTTTGTTTTAACAGTATGCGTGCAGCAGGTTGATCAAGTAAGATGAGGGCTGAAAGGGGGCGCCTGGGTGGCTCAGTTGGTTAAGCGGTCTGCCTTCGGCTCAGGTCATGATCCCAGGATCTTGGGATCGAGCCCCATGGCGGCGGGGAGCCTGCTTCTCCCTCTGCCTCTGCCCCTCTTCCTCCCCCTGCTCTCTCTTCTCTCTCAAATAAATAAAATCTTTAAAAACGAAAACGATGAGGGCTGAAGTATAGGTAGTATGCATTTCCCTGGAATGATCTGTGAAAGCCAACACTGACTTAAAAACCACCACCACGATGCTCTTTCAGGCACACTTTGAGAGAGCATCTTGCCCAGATCACACTGACGTAGCCATCATCTACAAAGCACAGTACTGGGCACTCTGGGATGCACTGGCTATGGCAGTCAGGACACCCGTGGCCAGAGGAATGACTATGAAAATGAGTACTAGTATGTTTTACACCTGGGATAATGAATACATGTTTCGCACAAGGGACAGAAATTGGACGAAGGGAAGTGGGAGAGGGAAATGAAGTAACAAACGCGACCGCAGTGTTCCTCCCAAAGGAACAACTCCCACGCCTCGGCCGCAGCACAAGACCAAACCTACCAGGCTCCAGAATCCAGGGCTGTATCACCTCTGCAAGTCACCGCAACTAAGAAACCTCTCCCGGAAGCTTCCCTCAGCTTCCCTAACACCCCTAGATCAGCTTAACAGTACTGCTCCACCGTTAAGAACTTCGCAGCTAGTGCTGTTTGCTGTTGAGCCACTTGATGGGAATTCTCCACCTGCTCTGCAGATCAAGACCATGGCAGGCTCCCCAGTGCATCCCAGAGTGCCCAGTACTGTGCTCTGTAGATGATGGCTACTTCAGTGTGATCTGGGCAAGATGCTCTCTGAAAGTGTGCCTGAGAAAGCATTGTGGCGGTGGTTTTTAAGTCAGTGTTGGTTTTCACAGATCATTCCAGGGAAATGTATACTACCTAGCAAAGGAAAATACCATTCACTGAATCCTCTGAGTTCAAGATAAACTACCATTTGGGGTTACAAACAGGAGAGAGTGAAACCCAAATACACCTTCCAAGGAACCAATTCAGAGAAAAAGCATTAGCAGTTGAGGCAGAGGATTCCTATTATGCATATAGATGAGTTTTAAAATTGCAACCTGCTATTCAGAGCCTGAATATTAATCCCAAAGGAACTCATCCATAGCTTACTTTTGAAAAAGTAATTCTAAAAAGAAACAGGTACTAGGCACCTGGCTGGCTCAGTCAGTAGAGCGTGTGACACTTGATCTCAGGGTCGTGAGCTCAAGCCCCATGTTGGGTGTGGAGCCTACTTTGAAAAAATTAAAAAAAAACAACACACAAGTACTGAAGAAAATCCTGATGCACCCCTGAATCAAGAGGAGACTGGATGACATCAGTATTCAGTTTCACTTCAGTAGGCAGTACGGTTCAAGCCCTATTTCCTAACTCCCTCTAAGAGAGTAGGAAGCAGAACTATCTGAAGAGGACCAACACCAAACCAATGGTTCTCAACATGTTTCTTGAAACCCTTAAGTTCTGCAAAGACAACACACATTCTGGCTGCATTCAGCTTCCTCCCGCCTGCACTTCTGACCCTGCATGGTCTTTGCTCTTGCTTCTTTTTGAGGCTCCTTTCCCTAACCCAGAGAGGGTGCTAATGAGGGGACCCCACAGGACTCCTGCTCTGGTGGACCCGGAGGGCTCAGCAGAAGTCCCATTCCAGGAGCCTGTGAAGTTCCTGGTCAACCCCAGGCTGGGTAAACAGCTGTACAAATGTCCACCAACTGACAGCAATTGTCAGCAGGTGTCCCCTTAGCCTTGCTGCAGGGAAGATCCCACTGCCCCGCAACCCTGAGCCAGGTGGGAAGAACACATGCAAGTGGCCAACAGAAGATGGTCTCTTTATACCAACCAACCCAGAAGGCTCGTTCTCAAGGAAAAAAGCAGGCCCTAGTCTCTCCGAGACAGAAAAGCACATTGCCTAAATATGGTGATGAAGTGTTCCAGTGGTCTGCAATCGGGTTAAAAGAAGCCACCAGCAATCTGGCCCCTTTCAGTTATGAGCCACATTTGATTAATTTTTTTAAAACATTTTATTTATTTGAGAGAGAGAGCACGAGCATGGGGGGGGAGGGGGGAGAGAAGCAGACTCCCCGCTGAGTAGGAAGCCCAAGCGGGCTCGATCCCAGGACCCCGAGATCATGACCTGAGCCAAAGGCAGACACTTAACCGACTGAGCCACCCAGGCGCCCCCACATTTGCTTTAAAACACATCAGATTCACGGGGCGCCTGGGTGGCTCAGTTGTTAAGCATCTGCCTTCGGCTCAGGTCATGGGATCAAGTCCCACATCGGGCTCCTTGCTCAGCGGGGAGCCTGCTTCTCCCTCTGTCGCTCCCTGCCACTCTGCCTACTTGTGATTCCTCTCTCTCTCTGTGTCAAATAAATAAATAAAATCTTTAAAAAAAAAAAAACAAAAAACAGGGTGCCTGGGTGGCTCAGTCGGTTAAGCGACTGCCTTCGGCTCGGGTCATGATCCTGGAGTCCTGGGATCAAGTCCCGCATCGGGCTCCCTGCTCAGCAGGGAGTCTGCTTCTCCCTCTGACCCTCCTCCCTCTCGTGCTCTCATTCTCTCGCAAATTAAAAAAAAAAAAACAAACACATCAGATTCACACTGTTTCCACACAGTTTATTCAGAAGTTTAAAATGTGGGCATTTTCCCCTAAAACAAATCATCCCTCCCTGCCACTCCCCACACACAGACTATCACCACTCCTGTGAACTCTTTACGGTGCTTACCACACATACTTGCAAAACACCTGGGGGTCAAAACCTCAACTATTTGGTAATACAACGAAACGAGAGAGTTACACAAAAGAATCTCATTTACTTCCTTTCACTAGCAGACCGTGAATGAAAGATTAAGGGGCAAACATTACCTTCATCCAAAGTTAATACTTCCCTAGTATTTTTTTTTCTTCCTCTAAGACATTAAAACCCAAAGCAGTTTCATTTACTCCTGTAACTCTGATATCCCATTTTTCGTTTCTGAATAGCTAAGCCAGGACATACTTTCAAGGTGATCTTAACCTCAAGACTGGTAGAAAGCAGACTCCCAGCTGCAGCTTGGCCATGACCCTTTGCAACAGGCAAAATCACCACACAGGTGAAAATGATGCTTTCAGAGTTCTCAAAAACTTTAAAATAATGCATTAATATGGAGCCTCCACATATTTCTGATGCAGCAAAATTCCTCTCAAGGCTGTAAAAGAAAAGGCACTTGGTGCTAAAATTCCGAGGGTCTCTCATGAGTGCCGCAGCAGAGAGGCCTGCTCAGCCCAAGCTGCAGGCTACCCTTTAGGGTGGAGAGGAGCATCCCCCAGGAAGGCCTCTGCAAAGGAAAAATCCGTAATCGTGACTCCAAGGCAAAATGGTTACTTAAACCGGAGAGGACAAACACAAAGACCGAGAGAGAGAAGACAAAACACAGTTGCACCAAGGACTGAGGAGTGAACTTCACAGGGATTTGTAGGCTGGCTCCGCACTTCGTACTGGGCCGGTTCCTTCACTTCCAAGGAGGTTCTGGAGACCGAGCAGGGGCAGCACCTTAGCCAAGAGGATTCCAGGCCTGCTGCCTCGGCCTGCACTCTCCCTGCTGTGTTCCCAGGAACAGAGCGAGTTCCTGCTGGCAGCACTTGTGGCTACTGCTGGTCCGCGACAACATCTTAGGGATGTCCTGATACAGCCATGAAGAGACGCTGAGGGTTTTCCACGTGATCTGGGAGTCCTTGGCAAAGCCCAGTGGCTTGGGTCTTCTGAGAGCGACAATGGATCACGCTGGTATCCCCCATCAACACTCAGAAAAGCAGCATGAGTGTTTTAGACGGGCAGGAGGAGAGAAATCAATGGATTGAGGGTCTTTATCCTAGTACCATAAATAAAGTGCACCATGAATGGAGGCTATCAAGAGCCACTCGCCTGAGGCCGAGGTATGGGGAGAAACTACCATCACCACCCGCTCAGAGGATGGTGGACCATTTCCTTCAGCCAGAATGCTGGTTGCTGAGGCTTTCATTATTGCTTTATTTCCTTAGCACTACGGAAATTTTAGCTGTAAAGGAAAAGAAATACTGGGTGGGCTTGGCAGAAAGCATGTCTGTCACAAAATCACAGAAATTGGCTGATACTCAATAAGTCTATGTTACAATCTCAATAATGTTTGATAATGGCTGTTTTTTCTCCCTCATTCTGATGAACTTAGGAAAACAAGTTTTTTAAAACCTCTCTCAAATTGGCTCATGAGGCTTCTAAAGAAGCAGTACAGCTGTTTATGGCCGATGTAGTAGAAATGGTTGTCTTTGTTCTACAGGTCTCCGATGCATTATGGAAGAGAATCCACTTACTGTCACATTTCAGTAGAGTTTACCATGACACACTGGCGGGTTCCATAAACGTCTTGGAAACTCTTTCAAAAGACCGTGTGAGAGGAAAACCGTGATGTTGTACCAAGAACTCCTGCTCCACTGAGGATTCTGTTTCAAGGGTACTATTTGGCTGCTTTCATGTAGGAAGGTATTGCCCCCCGAGCCGTGAGGCCCTCAAAGCGCTTGTACGTGTAATTGATGAAGACCCAGTCTTTGTTCTTGTAGTCAGTCTCAGGGTGATTACTTGTAGCCACTGGGAAAGAAAGAGATGTGAGAGTTGATTCACTGCCTTACCCCGAGGGGACTACTCAGTACTGAGGACATGACATTCGGAAGAAGATACCACAGTTTTTATTTGGGAAAAATTGTTTTTCACTCTGCAAATCTTCTACATTTGCTTGTCTATGTTCTTTGAACCTCCTACTTCTCACAAATATTTTTAAAGTTTTATTTCCCCATTTCTGTCATTTCAGGTTACCTAAGCTTTAATAAATAAAAACGAAAGAACAAACCTTTGTGATTCCCCACCCCGTCTAGCAGCTCAGCAGTCTCCATTCAGCAGGGTGTCACCGCTCCTCAGCATTAGCGCTGGGAAAACACTTACAAAGAACCAGAAGGACTAAAATTCCTCTAGCTGACCTATAAACACAACCCCCAGACTGGCGGGGGGAGGAAATAATGTGCTTATAACACAGCAGGAGGCACTGTTGGTGCTGTTACCTGTTGGCTTAAGAATATCAGATTCTGGAAACTCATCGAAGTTTGAGGTATCATCAATGCTTTTGATTTCAATAGATATTGCAGCAGGTCTCTCTCTGCCAAGAACAGACATGCCAGAAATTACTACGGTTAGTAATCACGTGGGTCACAGCTAATCACGTCTTTCTCCACAAAGCCCCCTGGCCTGACACGGGCAAGACTAGCCACAGCCGGTAAAAGCTACTGACACTGAGCAACCACGCCACCTGGCCACATCCAAACAAAATGAGAAAACAGAACTAACCATAATCCATAGCTGGGAAGAAAGACAAAAATAATGAGAAAAACTAAAATCCGAAGTTAATGCACTGCCCTCAGGGCCTGCCCTGTCTGTAAAAGGGGAACTAACCCTCTGGGCGCCCACACCCCCCCACCCCGGGCAGGGCACTGCCCTTCTACCAGAGGGGCTAACCAAGAGAAAGCTAAAAATACGGCAAAAAGGAGCCGAAGGTAAAACTGAGAATAATGCAAATCAAAACACAATTATGGAAGAGAGGACAAGGTCTTCGCCTTCTGTTTCTGTTTGGCAACTGCCGAATGCCGAGTAGGAAGGGCGGCCACTGGCCACACTCCACAGCCCTCCACAGCCCCGCCGTGGCCAGCTCCACTCTCCCTCCCCACGCCCCTCCCGCCTCCGCTCAGTCCTTTGGACTCGCGCTCCCTGTGGCCAGGGACAGCCCTGCTGGCGACCACCAACACTGCAGAAGCTGGTGTGTCCTAGGTAAGGGCAAGGGCAACACGCTTCTTAGGTGCTCCCTTCACCATGGAAGCCAAATGTCACTTCACTTAGGAATTGGCTGCTGGCTTCACCATATCCCCTGGCACATGGCTGACGGGAAGCCCCCACTCCCATCCTCACCACAAAGGAAAATCAAGAAAAGACCCTGAATCTCGAAGAAGCCCTCTTCCCTTACCTGGCTTGCCAATAATGGTGCTTCTAAATTACTATTAAGCAAATTACAGCCTTTCTGAAATAATCCTGAAAGTTTTTATATGGATATACCTGATATGTTCCCAGTCAACGCCTTCAAAAAAAGAATTACTTTTGATTTCCTCAACTCCAGGGGCTCCAATTCTATGTTCCCACTCACAGCAGAATCTGGAAAAGACAGAGGCCTTTCAGCATACCTCAAATAGTCTCTTTGGAAAAAGAGAAGGAATAACCTCCCCTTTTTTTTAAAAGAGAGAAATGGGAGAGAGCAAGGGACAGACCCAGGTAATAATTAAAGTTGGAAAAAAAAAAAATGAATTCACTCATGTCAAAGAACCTGGGTGGGAGGTGGGGGAAATGTTCTCTGACTAATACCTCAAAATTAGATCCTTGGCTTTCTCAGAGATAGGAACTTCTGGAGGAAAAGTCAAAGTTTCTTTCCAGTTCATCACCTTCTTATATGTCTCTTGAGGGGTCTCAGAACAGAAAGGTGGGTAGCCTGTAAAAAAAAAGGAACTTCGGAGCTTTTACACCCCAAAACTTTGAATCTGACTGAGAGCATTCTCCTTAATATGATTCTATACCTCTTTAACCCTCCATAACCTCCTCCATGACTTCCACTCATTCCAGAAAACATCTAATTTTTCATTTTCCCCCCAAACTCCCAAGCCCAAAGTGAATTTGTGCTTCTGGTACCACAAGGGAAGCAGCTAATAACGGAAGCTGGGAAAAGAAAGGAGGACATACACAGCATTGCACACGGGGAGTCACTGTGCCCAAAGAAGAAATGAAAGGATGAAACAACATCACTGAGAAATGACTGTTCTAGGAATATCCGTATATATGGATAAAGTGCAAACAAGTTGAACAAGAAAAAAGCATAGGTTTTAAAGGTGACCATCGTGCCTCTTTTTGAGAACTACAGACAAGGGGATAAATACTCTCAGACCATATTACTGCCCTCCACACAGACCACATCCGCCTCCACAGGCATCCATCCAATGTTCCCGAAGACAGCACAGCCAGAAGCCATCCTAGTCATCCACAGACTCACGCACTCAGTACCACCATGGACATACTTACTCTCCTAGTGCTCTCGGGCATATGGCCACCCACCCCCCAGAGTGTCCCCTAAATACACAGACACACCATCTGAATAAGAGGGAGAGAGATCAGAGGGTTCCATGCTTTGAAGGCTTAGAGAGAGGAAGGGCAGAGCAAGAAAGTAAAGAGTATGTGAGGCAACGCCCAGTTAAAGTTCTCTGCATACAATGAATGTTTAAGAAATGCCATAGACTGAAAGAGCTGCTAGGAGAGGATGAAAAGGGGGAAGAAGAACAGGGTAAATGATCAGCAAAGCAAGCACAGGATGCCAGGAAGCCAGACGACATAGGTGGCTATTTGACGGCCATGAGCTTTCTACCTAGGAAACTTCTCGTTGAAAGATAAGAGGGGAAAAGTGCTTCGATCACCCCCAAATGAAACAGTCTATTATCAATATGGGACTCTTTCCTAGCTGCACAGAAAAAGTCCTCTGAAAGCATGCAACTTACCGATGAGCATCTCATACATGATCACCCCAAGCGACCACCAATCACAGAGCTTGTTGTACCCGGTCTGCATGAACACCTCAGGAGCAATGTAGTCAGGAGTGCCTACTGTGGAGAAGGCCTGAAACACGTACCATACATCAGGGGGACCCCGCAGGCAGGAGGGTGCCCAGAGTTCTGTTCTAGAGACCAAAGGTTCCAAGCACCACCTACGGCTACCCACAAACTAACTGAGCAGGATGCCCGGTAGCTTAATGGCAAACCTGATTTGCCAGAGCACTTCCAAAATGAACAATAAAGCTTCGTCAGGGAGGCAAGAGATGCTTCCTACATACAGCCAAAGCCCATGGTCAATCAGGACGAAGGTATCCATCTTAACAACTAGTACCGTAATTTACTGAGCACCCAGTGAGTGCCAGGCTCCGTACCTCTTATATGCTTCTGAGCCTATTTCATCCTGACACAACTTAGCAAAGGACTTTATCAGCAAATAAAATCTAACACCCAAAACAGCTTTGTTCACAGGCTCAGGACTAGTTAAGTGGCAGAGCCCAGTTTGAAAATGAAATACCCTGTCTAAATCATCCCTCTTTCTATCATAAATATTCCTAGATTTGGCAAAATCATAAAGGGAAGCTTTATTATTACAAGCTAGTCATAATCCTATAGGTTAGAGATTTATGTCTATTTACTAAACGTACTCATTTATGCAAACCGTTCTCAGGGGAATGTTTTCTAAATTCAAGTAATCCATTCTCATATACCAGGACTACAATACAATACTCAAAGCCTTCCAGTGTGCTCAGCATTTGGGCGTTTACAACATAGAAGGCTCTGATCTAAGCGCTTTTGATATTACAGAACTTCTAAGGTAAAAAATAACATCTGTGTTGTCTTTTGAAAATGTTTATTATGGAATACTGCAAGCATACAGGAAAAAAACAGACAATACAACATACATGTACCTATTGCCCATATTAAAGAGAGGTTAATCATCTGCCATATTTGTCTCAGATCAAAGACACAAAACTATAGAAACAATTAAAACCAGATAGTCCCTCCCTCCTTCCCTACTGAAGTCAAAACCACCCTGAAGTTGCTGTGCTATGCTTATATGAATGTTTGCATAAATGACATTACTTCCTGAATATTTCAACTTTTAACAAAGGGTTTCACTCCAATGCTACACCTCGTGTTGGCTCAGCATTATGATTTTGCGATTTATTCATGTAGCTCTGGTTCACCCATTTCACTGCTGTACACATATTCCATGATACAAATGTCACAATGTTTTTTTATCCATTCTTCTGTTGCTTTCAAAGTCTCACTATGACAACAGCCACACAGACATTCCTGTGACACCTCCTGGGCACTAGAGGAAGAATTTCTCTAAAGGATATACCAGAAGGAGTACCACTGGGTCTTGCATTACGAACATCTTCAACTTAACTAGACATCTTCCAACTGTCCTCCAAAGTGCTTAAACCTATTTAAACAACCCCAGTGGGGAGGAGCTCCTGGTGTTCCACATCTCACCAACACTTGGCTCTGTCAGACTTTTAATTTTTGCCAATCTGATGAATATGAAATGGGATCTCGCTGTTTTAATTTACATTTCCTTTATCTTTAGTAAGGTTCAGCATGTATTCATTTATTGATTAGCCATTCAAGTCTCTCTTCTCTGAATTCCCGTTCAGATCCTTTGCCCATTCGTTTTCTAGTTGCATTATCTTTTTTCTTATTGATTTGTAGGAATTCTCTATGAATCCAGGGCATTAATCCTGATTCAGGACATAATCCTTTATAGTTTTACATATTGGAAATAACTTCTCCCAGGGTGAGGCTTATCATTATTATTAGGGTTTTTAAGTGATGTAATATATGTTATATACCCAAAAATGTATAATTATCAAATTATGAAGCATAATAATAAAAATGAATAACCATGAGTTCAACCGAAGAAATGAATCACTACCAACGTCATTAGAGCTAAACGTGCACTCCTCTCCCTTCCGTCCTCCTGCCTCTCCTAACCCCTATGGTTCAATTTTGTTTATCATTCCTCTGCTTTTAAAAATAAATTTAATTTTGCCCCACATCTGTCTCTAAGTGAGATCTTAGCCTTATTTTGGGGCTTTGTAAAAATGGTATCATTCTACACGTAGTCTTCTGTTCTTTGATTTTTCTTCTCAACCTTTTGTTCCTAAAATTGATCCCTGATGTCAAATGTAGCTGTAGTTCAATTACTTTCACTGCTGTAAAATATTCTACCCCACAATGTAACCATTTTCCTGTCAATGGGACAGGGGTTATTTCCAGTTTTTTGCTATCACAAAAATGCAATAAGCATTCTTATACATGGCTCCTGGTTCACAAGCACAAATTTTTCCAGACCATATGATTAGGGGTAGAATTGCTGGGTTGTAGGGTATGCACATGAACTATAACATAATTTCAAAGTAGTGGGACCATGTGGCTTATCTTTTCATTTGTTTATGTCTTTCAATATATAGAAGGGTTTTTTTTCCTTTAAAGCAAAATCAAATTTTCCTTTATGATTTGTACTTCTTGTATCTTAGTATTTTTTAAAAATCCTTCCTTACTCCAAGATCATGAATATATCACCCTATACTTTCTTCTAAAATTTTAAAGTTTTATTTTTCCATCTACTACTTTTTTTGTGTATACTAAAAGGTAGGAATCCATTTTTTCCATATAGAATTGTACACTGTTTTCTTTTAAATTAAATAATACAAATGCCAGTTGTTGTTTTTAAAGCTTTAAAGTCTGAGACATGGACTGTGCTCTCCTCAAGAAGTATTTTCATTCTAATTATAAAGGTTAAGAAACTACAGAAACCCTTCAATTTAGAAACTAGATTTATCCCAGCAAAGCTGAATGTTAAGTAAATCTTATTTGCTAAAAAATTCTATTATAAAACCAGAGATGGGGGTGCCTGGCTAGCTCAGACAGTAGAGCATGCAACTGTTGATCTCGGGATTGTGAGTTCGAGCCCCATACTGGGCACAGAAATTACTTAAAAAAAAAAATAT